ATCCGCGACTGCGGTCACTTCCGTCGCCGCCATCCTGCGCTTTTCCTCTCCATCTGCCAAGAGAATCTCCGCCGCCCCAGCCGCCACTGCGGTCACCTCCGCCGCCGTATCCGCCACTGCGGCCGCCCCAACCCCCACTTGTTCCCCAACCGCCGCCGCTGCTCTTTGAAGAATCCGCAACTGCGGCCCGTGTTTCCTCTTCCGCTTTGTCATCCCACCCTGCGCGCATCTCTGCCCCGACTGCAGGCCGCGGAGGCGGGCGCGAGCCCGCCCAACCGCCGTGAAACCTAATTACCGTCGGCGCGGGCTTGAGCCGAACGCGCATGGAGGAGGAGGATGAGGAGGAGGAGGGTGAATGTGAGGAGGATGATGCGTTCCTGGGAGGTGTGCCTTCGCGTGCAACACAAGAGCCCTGAGAATTCCTGAGGCCCCTCAAACAGCCAAGGACGCGGATGACAAGAAAGTCGAGAAGATTGGGAACCGATTGAGGATTAAGAGGCGTGCGACGAAAGGGATGATGATGACGAAGAGGAAGATCAGTGAAGGGGAGGAGCGGACAGGAATTTTGGAGGAGTGATAGCAGAGGAGGAAGAGGGGGAAGGGGGAGGAGGAGGAGGAGGAGGAGGAGGGAGAGGAAAAGGGGGAGGAGGAGGAGGAGGAAGAAGGGGAGGAGGAGGAGGAGGAGGAGGAGGAGGAGGAAGAGGAGGAGGAGGAGGAGGAGGAGGAGGAAGAGGAGGAGGACGACGACGACGAGGAGGAGGAGGAGGAGGAGAGGGAGAAGGAGAACGGGGACAGGAGGACAAGGACGGAGAAATATAACAAATGAGGGGGGGGAGGCGGAGGAGGAGGAGGACGAGGAGGAGAAGCAGGAAGAGGAGGAGGAGAGGGGGGAGGAAGAGTGCGCGTGAGACTGGGAGAACGAGGTAATTAATTAGAGAGGGAACGGGGGAGGAGGGAGGACAAGGACGAGCATACAGCGACGAGAAGAGGAGAAGGAACAGACGAAGGCTCCTGCTGATCGCATTTCCGCATCGTTCAAAGCAGTGCCGGGGCACTGCTTTGAACGACTGGTGATGTTCAAAGCAGTTCCCCGGCACTGTGTTCCATCGTCGCCGTTATAAGGGCTATCGGATTACCCAGCAATGCCAAGCAACACGAAGCAACCTCAGCAACGCCAACTGATGCAACACAATGCCAAGCAAAGCCCAGCAATGCCGAGCAACGCCAAGCAACACCAAGCAACGACAAGCAAGGCCAAGCCACGCCAAGCAAGTCCAAATAATGCCAAACACTGCCAGGCGAAGCGAAGCGATGCCAAGCAAATTCCAAGCAAAACCAAGCAATGCCAAGCAACGCCAAGCAACGACAAACAGTGCAACCCACCGCAATACCAAGCAATGCGAAGCACCACCAAGCAATGCCAAGCAACGCCAAACAACGCAAACCACTGCAATGCCAAACAACGCCAACCAATTCCCAGCAATGGCCAGCAAAACCAAACACTTCCAAGCAATGCCGCTTAGGAAGCGTTTCCCTAATTCGGGTCGCGCGGTGATACCTCGTCTGGTAGGCCAGCAATAATACGAGGAACAAGCTACGACCTAAACATAATTTCTCTGATCCGCTCGGATTTCGTGGTTCGGAGCTGGACACCCCTCCATGGCGCGCGGAGCGCGCCACGGCGCCGCCAGGGAAGGGGTGCAGCGCCGATCCAAAAACTCCGCGCGGATCTTCCGATCATGTGTGCTAGTGTAGTTTTCCGTTCGAAACGCGCCAGCCACAGGCAGCATGGCTCTCAATATGAGCATCGCTTCGTCAATCCCAATCCAACACTGGCGCGGCCTGGGCCACACTGGCCGATTTCCCTCCCTAGATGTGGGTATAGCCTGTTTCCTTTGGATTTCGAAGGGTATGTCCCCAAGCAGGATGGTGGGATGGTGGGGTTCGGGATGGGGATGGGGACAGGAATCGATTCAACGATACTGACGATCGCCGTCGTTCGGAAATCCATTCCTCGCGCATGTGTTGCGTTCGTGCGTGTGTTTTGTTGCTCGATGATCCAAGATATTCCTCGATGGTTCCAGCCGAGAACAAGCGCACACGTCCGAACGATGCGAAGGACGCGAGGGCCCGCCCGAGGCAGCCGCCGGGCTGGAAGGCGCGGCTCTACGGGCGGAGATCTGCATCTAGCGGCGAGGAGGGGGGAGGGAAGGAGAGAGGCAAAAGGAGAGGATTTGCAGCGCAGCAACGGCCGCCTCATCCAACTCCTCATTCATCTTCCCTCCGTCCTCCTCCCCCTCCATCTTTCCTCCGGGCAGCGGTGCGGGTCTGCCGCGCGCCGACGCTCTGTGGTCGGGAGCCGTCAACTCCTCTGACGCCCCTAAAGAACTGGGAGGTTCCCGCGGGGGTCGCGCACTGTTTGCGACAGCTGGACTCAGGGCGGAGGGGTCTGCCAGCAGGGGCCTATAGCTTACACGGACCCCCCGGCGGCCAGCCCGCCAGCCGTCGCCGCCGCGCCGGCCGCCGCCGCCGCCGCCCAGCTCCTCAGCACCGCCTCCTGGGCCGCCAGAACTCCCGCGCCTGCCGCGCGGCCCGCTGGCCTCCCCGCGCGCCGGCCGGCGTCGCGCCGCCGCGCCTGGATGTCGCCTTCAGGCCCTCTCGCCAGCCGGCCGCCGCCCCCCCCCTGGCAACGCCCCCGGCAGTTAGCAGCGGCGGTGCAGCAACCCAGCGCCGCTGCAGCTCAGCACCGCCACGCGCGGCAGCTCAGCCCCGCGCAGGCGCCGCTCAGCGCGCGCCCCGGGCCGCGCCCGCCGCGGGCCCAGCGCAGACCGGCCGCGCGGCGGAGCTGCTGCGCCAGCTCCCGCTGCAGCGCGCGCAGGCGCGCGCCAGCTCCTCCGGCTGCGCGTCCTCCGGGAGCTCCTGGACGTGGCTGAGCAGCCAGGCCCGCGCCCCCCCTTCCCAGGCGGCCCCCGTTTCCAAGGCGAAAGCGGTCAAACGCTCGCCGGGGTAGCGCGCTTGCTTGGCGCGCTCGGCCCAGAGCGCCGCCTCGCAGGGGCGCCGTGCCGCCGCGCGCGCGGCGGGCTCGTCGACGGCCGCTGGGTGGCGGACAATTACGTCCAACCACCGTCTGCGTCGGCGTTGTCTGCTCCAGGGCTTGCTCCAGGGCCGCCGGCTGTCCTGCCCGCGGCGCGCTCGGGCCCTGTCCCAAGTGGGCACTCGCTGCTCGTAGAGCGGCGCGCAGTGGACCCACCTGCCCGCCAAGCTGCCCGCGGCGCGCGCCACTCCGTTGTGCCGCTTGACGACGCCGCCGCCCGGCCGGCAGATGGCGGTGTGGAAGCTGGCCGGCCTCGCCCAGCGGCGCCTGACATGGCGTCCCGCCAGCTGTCAGGTTCTGGCAAGTCGTCGCAGTCTTAGCAAGCAAGCTCGTCGGCGGCGCACTCGGTCCGCGGGATCCCGAACTGGACGGGGCTCCAGGTCGCTGTCCGCCAGGAGGGGCCTTCAGCGTGCACGCCAGCTTCGTGGGGTACCTCAAGTAGACCCCAGCCCCTGGCCCCCCGGCGGAGGCTGCACTGGTGCATTCGCTGCTTTGCAACAGCGAGGGTTTTCTTATGCACCATAGCGACCAGGGTCTTTTGCCTGTCGGGTGGCCCAACAAAGCCTCGAGGGGCGCGGCCCGTTCGGGGTCGGTGCCCTGGCGCGCCAGGTCGGCCCGGGTCGTTTCGAGAGCGGCCGCGGCCTGGGGCTGGGCTGCCAGCGTGTCTCCGAGGGTGGAGACACCGGAGACACCGAGGTCTCGCTGGACTTCCGCGGCCGCCTGCGTCCACGAAACCCGGAAGGCCGCCGCGCGCCTCGTGGACGCCCACTGCGCGTCGGGCCCGCCCAGCTTGCGGCTGGCAAGCCCAGCAGCTCGCACGCCTCCGGGCCTAGCGGCCGTTTCAGCAAAATTTCCCAGCAGACAACCAAAACAACAAGAAAAAAAAAAAAGACCAAAAAAAAAATAACACACAAAAAGAAAAGAAAAAAAAAAGAAAAGACAAACAGAGTTAGCAGCAAACCGACCCGAGAGAGTCACACAAGGAGAAAGAGAAAGGGAAATAAAAAGACAGAAAAAAAGAAAAGGAAAGAAATAAAAATAAAAACACAGAGGCAAAACAAAATAAAAAACCAAGCAACAGTGCACACAGGCTAAAGAAACAGCATGGGAAGGAGAAGGAAGGCCCCTCAGCGCAGCATCGTAGCGGAAGATCTCGTCTCCCGCCTCCTCCCTCCCCCTCTCCCTCCAACCCTCCAACGCTCCAACCCTCAACCCTCCAACCCTCCCTCCGCCCTCCTTTTTGCCCCCTCCTCCCTCCCTCCTCCTCTCCTCCCTGCCTCCTCCCCCCTTCCTCCCTCCCTCCTCCCCCCTCCGTGCCCCCCAACAGAAACAACGAACAACACCCTGGGCCACTTCCCGAGGTCTGCCTCGCCTGGGCTCCCAACCCGGATAATGTTGACGCGCCCCTGGGGCCCACGAGCGGGCCCCTCGAGGCCGACACTCAAGGATCACCTCGGGCGCTACCCCGTGTTTCGGCGGGGAGCCCTGCTCCTCCTCTTCCTCCTCGCGCCCTCCCTCCCTCTCTACCTCCTCCCTCCCTCCCTCCTTCACTCCCTGTCCCTCCCTCCCCGTCCCTCTCTCCCCGTCACCACCTTCCCGTCCTTCCCTCCCTCCCTCCATCCACATCCCCTTTCTCGTTTCGGCGGCCAGCGGGGATGGAGGAGGGAGTGAGAGAAGGCGGGCCTCCTAAAAAGACTCGCAAGTCCCAAGGACTTCTGAGAAGTGTTCCACGCCTTCCCCGAAGGTGCAAACATCCTCTCAGAAGGCGCGAGGGATCCTGAGAAGTCCCACCGCCTTCTGACAAGGCCTTCTCCTTCTCACTCCCGCCCGTCGCTCGCCGCCGAATGTGTCGTTCCACTTCTCCCGCGCCGTACCCCCCAACCCTCCTCATATAACCCCGCCTCGCCTCAAAGATGTTGTCATGCTCGCGGAGGAAGTCTAGCAGGCGCCTCGGGTGACGCGCGCGGCGGCGGGGCTTCTGGCGTGCGGGGGCGTCCTCCGCGTCCTTCTCGCCATCCCCCCTCGCCTCCCTCGTCGTCCTCCTCCTCCTCCTCCTCCTCTTCCTCCTCCTCCTCCTCCTCTTCCTCCTCCTCCTGCCTGGGGTAGATCCGGGAGAAGCTTCAATTAACTCACGCTCGCACCAAGCGAGATCACTACCCTTTAGTGTTGCGATTCTCTGTCGGCCCCTGCTTTGAATTGTGTAAGCAGTCTCCCGTTATTTGGGACCATGGCAAAATCTCGAGGGCGGTGAAGTTCGGTGAGGGGTCGGAGGAGTTTCGTCACAAAGTCGAGCACGTGCTCGAAGAAGCCAGCCCGCGAATGCAGGAATTGAGTGTGCAGAGTGCCGATCGTATGTACGACAGTGCGCACGCAGCTGTGAATGAAGTAGCGAGAGAGCACTTTAAGAAAAGGCCTAAGGTCGAGGACAAACTTTCTGACACGGCTGCGGCGTTGCAAGAGAGAATCAAAGGTCGCGTGGTTTTCGGAGGCCTTCGGAGTATTCCCATCGACCCTCTCCCCCTCTTTCCTCCGTGTGTGTGTGCTGGTTGTCGCTTCCTCTCAGAAGGGTCAGGGAATCCATAACTTTTTGCCACTGCAGTTCTTAGGACGAATGTCTGTGTCTCCAGGGCTACAAGGAGGTGTATGAGCCCAGTGCTTGTCTTGCGGCTGTGATTGTCAGATGCAGACAATCTGCCAAGATGGAAGGAGACACGGCCCTGTGCTGGAAACTGATAAAACTGTTTGCGCACAGTCGTCGTGGGCCAACTCAGAGGAACGTTTATATACCCAGGACACGTCTAGAGATGAGTACCTGGCGAGCCTCTTTATCGCAGCAAGGCTATTTAGAAGGGTTTGCGGCGAAGCCTCCACTGCACCATCAGGAGAAAACGCGCAGGTCGGATAGACCCGCGCGCACAGCGCTCACTGTTGAGATCATGGGTCAAACGAATGGGGATGTGATCCGACTGAGCAGGCAGATGAAATTGGCGCGTCTGCGCAATTCTCCTCCCGCATGGTTTTTCCCCGTCGGAGTGTGGAGACGGATGCTGATTCCTAACGGACTTGAGTACGAGAGAAGCGAGGTCCTCGAGCGATACGATCATGCTCCAAACTGTTTTTTTCCCCTTGCATCACGAGCTGCAGAATGTGGATTTGCATTGCCATTCGACTACATGAGGAAGTCCCAATGCCCTGGCACAGGAGCCAGGCGTTCTCTTTTGACAAGCACATCGGACAGAGCGAATGCAAAGGCCAGATGTTAGTGCATTCCCTCGACCCGCTTGGGAAAGTGTACTATGATCAGCTTTGGCGCCTGTTCCCGCGGTGCACCTCGGACGCGGACAGGCCACGCGCTTTCGGCGATCTTCGGGGGCGGAGGCAGGAAGAGGCTACCCGTTCTGATATAGGTAGGTTCACGACGCTGTACGGCGTTACGAACGCCTTCGAAAGCATACATCAATACAGGCTGAAGGAATACGCGTCGGCTCGCTGCGGCGAGTTCGGGACGGCCCTGCTCTGCCAGACGCTGGATTTTGCGCAGGTCGTGATCGAATGCGTCGACTGGGATCTTGAGGTATGCACCGGCCAGGGCGCGCTTCCATGGAATACGGTCACCTGCATTTGGCTCCTGGGGGCCCACAACACAGATATCGACCTGTTAGGGAAATTCGGGCGTTCAGGCAATCAACGCGCAGACAATAACTGAGGAACTGAATTACACCGTCGGAGGAAGCTGAACACTATCTAAAACAAGTATCGAAGGAATGTTTCGACATTTCCGTCTCGAGCTTCTCGGACGACATCGCGCGTGCGTCGGCAATGCAGGGCGCAGCTGAGCGCAGGTCGCGCGCGCTGGCCCGGCCCGTGCATCTGGGCGCCGAGCTTTGGGGGGGAGTGGCCTTCAATGGGGGCAAGCAAGCATTGATGGTCCAGTTGGAGGGGAAGGGCGCTCAGTTTGGGATGGGGAGGCTGTGTGAGAACAAGGATGCAATGAAGGGCGCGGTACATTGGGTGACGAAGTAGTCAGGAAGGAAGCTGCACTTTCAAGGTCGCTCGAAGCCAGAGGCCGAATACATGACACAACGCGCTAGACAGGCCCCCTCTGCAGAGGATTTGTTTGAGGGAGCTACGAGCGAGAAGTGGAAGAGGCGTATATTTCACAGCAAGGTCGCGGCCTCGCCCCTCCCTGAGCTGGTCGCCTCCCCGCTCGCGGAGGCGGAGTTGCAGCAGCTCGAGAGCGCGCGGGCCAAGCTAGCTAGGCGTGCTCTCCGAAGGAAAGGGCGTCTCAAGGTTGGAGCGACGGACGTCCGTGCCGAGCGCGGCGCGGCGGTTTCCTACGCGGAAGCCAGACAGATGCTTGGCCCGAGGAAGCCTCTCCAGTCGCTGAGGGCCCAACGGATCAGCTGGCGGCGGGAAGGCAACATGCACCCTGAAAAGCATCTACATAGGTTGGCCACGCTCTATGGCTGCGCTTCACCGGACAAGCAGAACCTCTGCGATCCGATGGGCTTCTCGGCAGTGGCTCCTGGAGGGAACTCGGTGCACCTGTGGAGGAGCCGACAACTGCTCGATCTCGCGGCATGCGTGGGCAGCTCGGCCATGTCTGATGTTCGCCAGGGACTGGCGACTCGCCCAGTGTCGTATATTGTCCGCACTGCTTGTGAAGAAAAAACTCGCGAGCTGCGGTGAAACTGCAGTTCCCGGAGCTGTTCAGCTGCGCGCCGCGCAGGGCAGGCGGCCTCTGCGCGCGTCTGGCGACGCGCGCTCCTGTGCTCGGCACTGCGGCCATGGTGACATAGTGCTCGAGGTCAGCGGCGGCCGTCTCCATCGCGCCCATGCCGACGGCGTCGGCGAGCCTCGACGCGGCGACGACGATTCCACTCGCGACAGTCATGGCGATCACTTTCGGGAAGATCACGGCCAAGAGGACTGCTGTCATGAACATGGATGGTGAGTATGGTCAACATGACGTGATGATGATCGTGAGGCTGATAGCTGACCCATCCCCCCTTGGAATCCTAGAGAAGACGCGCTGTCGGGGCGGGGCGGGGCCCGGTCGCCCCCTCGGAGCCTATCAAAATAATGTTAATTGACCAGGTCAGGATTTGCCAAATCCAGTCTTTAAAAAAAACGGTGCCAAGTCCTGCCCCCGAGGCATTTCCCGCCCCGCGAGCTTTCAAGTCCCGGAACACCCCCAAACGACCAAACGAAATTCAAAGAAACTGCGCTTCCCCTCATGCGCGTTGCCGTTTCCGTTCGGCATGGAATCGGCGCGGGACTGCGCGCGCGTATCAGTTTCCGTTCGGCGGGAAATCGGCGCCAAATTGCGCCGCGCGTTCCCCTTTCCGTTCGGCGGGAAGTCGGCGCGGGATTGCGCGGCGCGCTTCCGTTTCCGTTCGGCGGGAAATCGGCGCGCAATTTCGCGCGCGTTTCTGTTTCCGTTCGGCGGGGGGTCGGCGCGGAATTTCGCGCGCGTTTCCCTTTCCCGTCCGGCGGGAAGTCGGCGCGGGACTGCGCTGCGCGCTTCCGTTTCCGTTTCCGTCCGTTCGGCAAGTCGGCGCGCAATTGCCCGCGCGCTTCTGTTTCCGTTCGGCAGGAAGCCGGCGCGGCACTGCGCGCGCGTTTCCGATCCCGTTCGGCGGGAAATCGGCGCGGGATTGCGCCGCGCGTTCTCCTTTTCCGTTCGGCGGGAAATGGGCGCGGAATTGCGTCGCGCGTTTCTGTTTCCGTTCGGCGGGGAATCGGCGCGCAATCTCGCGCGCGTTTCCGTTTCCGTTCGGTGGGAAGTCGGCGCGGGATTGCGCTGCGCGCTTCCGTTTCCGTTCGGCGGGAAGTCGGCGCGCAATTGCGCGCGCGTTTCCGTTTCCGTTCGGCGGGAAGTCGGCGCGGAATTGCGCGCGCGTTTCCGTGTGAAAGTTCCTTGATTTTTTTCCGATGCGCGTCGCGCGGGGCAGGGGGGCCCTGCGCATGTCTGGCGACGCGCATTCAGGTGGTCAGCGCTGCGGCCATGATGACATAGCGCCCGAGGTCAGCGGCGGCCGTGTCCATCGCGTTCACGGCGACGGCGTCGGCGAGCCTCGATGCGATGACGACGACCCCACTCGTGACAGTGACGGCGATCACTTGTAAAAAGATAATGGCCATGACGATTGCTGTCGTGATGATGGATGGTGATCATGATCATGACGCTGATGATCATTCAGATGATAGCCCCCCCATCCACCCAAATAATCCTAGCGGAGACGCGCTTGCGGGGCGGGGCGGGGCTCGGGCGCCCCCTGGGAGCTCATTAAAATGTTAAATGACCAGATCAAGATTTGCCGCGCCCCGTCTGCTTGGAAAAAAACCGCGGCCAAATCCGGACCCGCGACAAGTCCCTTCCCGCGAGCTTTCGGGTCCTGAAACATCCACAGGCGCCCGCGCGCAATTCAAAACAAAAACTGCACTTTCCCAGGCGCGCGTTGCCGTTTCCGATCGGCTAAGGAAGCCGGCGCGCAATTGCAAATGAATTTCCGTTTCCGCTCGGCGAGAAACCGGCGCGGAATTGCGCCGCGCGTTTCCGTTCCCGTTCGGCGGGAAATCGGCGCGGAATTGCGCCGTGCGCTTCCGTTTCCGTTCGGCGGGAAACCGGCGCGCAATCGCGTGCGTTTCCATTCCCGTTCGGCGGGAAGTCGGCGCAGGATTGCGCCGCGCGCTTCCGTTTCCGCTCGGCGGGAAATCAGCGTGGACAAGCGCGCGTTTCCGTTTCCGTTCGGCGGCAAGTCGGCGCGCATTTGCGCCGCGCGTTTCCGTTTCCGTTCGGCGGGAAATCGGCGCGCAATTGTTTGCGCGTTTCCGTTTCATCGGCGGGAAATCGGCGCGGGATTGCGCCGCGCGCTTCCGTTTCCGCCCGTTCGGGGCGTCGGCGCGCAATTGCCCGCGCGCTTCCGTTTCCGCTCGGCGGGAAGTC